TGATAGCCATTATCATTCCATCTATATTTTTATAAATTTCATATATTTTTACTTATTTTTATATATTTATACCCTTTCATAAATTTCATCTATATATTTCAAAATTCAATTGTACATATACATCGTCTATACACTCATTCATACATAGAGATTATATTTACAAACAGAGTTTATTTATATATAGATATTATTTACATAGAATTTATTTATACTCCACATTTATATATACACATAATTTATATTTACATTAATATTATATATTTACAATTTATTTATATTTAATCTATCATGATTAGATAGATTTATGCATTTATAACAACAAGTATAATAATAATAGAAATAAATGCATACAAATTTGGTTACACAATGAAGATCACTCACATATACCTTTGTTAGATTTTTAATTATTTTTATTTTTCGACTAAAGGTATATGTGAGTGGTGGATATACTAATTTATATGTACCATAGTATATCCACCTATCACTTGATCTGAGTGTGGGTGGGTCTGAGGGAATAAAAAAAAAAAAAAAAAAAAAAAAAAAAAAAAATGTTACATTGTACAAAACACATACCGTTACATACCTATATGGATGTGTGACCTATATCAAAATATTACACAGACTATAAGCAGGTTGGTTGGCAGATGACAAGTTAACGTTCGCTTCCAGCGGATGCTGATATCGCAAACTAGGTAGTTGGTAGACTATATGCGAGTCTTATTGCAATTTATACCATACTATCTCACACTAGTCCACATTCGTAATATCAAACACCAAGTTGCTGTCTCCCTTACTTTTTGAACTCCTCGCAAATTGTACGTAAACTCTGAGTAATATACTCATATAGGCATATATATTTCGATGGGCCTCCGTTAATGAATAATGACAAGTGAGATAGTATGGTATGAATTTCAAAAAGTTCCTATGACGGCTAAGCCTTTTAATTTGCTGTTTTAACTTTGGTGAGATTTAGCTTCCATAAAACAAAATATGCCTTATATGGGCCACAGTACAAAGACTAAGAGAGTTAGACATATAGGTGTTTGCGAAATTAAAAGAATTCTTATGTGTATTTGTCATAAAAATTATTTTTTTTTAAATATTTAAGTTAGAAATAATTCAGATGTTCAGATTTCATATCGGGTCGATTTGCCGCGAATGAAACGATTCGACCCTAATCTGTATGCTAGTTGAATGTGTAGACTATGTTCAGCCCCGTAACGAGCTCCACTACATAATATTAGACGTTTTATTAATTTCTTATTCAGTTGAATTTACAGTTACTGTTACAGTACAGACTACAATTAGTTATTAGGTCGGTATCGGTACTTAAATTACCCCCCTTTTTGACTGCAAAATATAATGTTTGTATCCCTAGTTTAAATGGTTATCATGTGCCTTTTGCATGCTTGATTACACCACTATCGGGTAATTCTAAAGCTTAGTTTCGTTTTCGATTTTACCACTTATTTTTAGGATTTCCGGTAATTGCCAACACAATGTGGCAGACGTTACTCAGTCCACAAATTATCAGTGTCAAGATGATGAACAGCAGTTCACGAACGCCGTTCGTGTATGGTAACAATAGTGCTTTTTCCGAGCAATTTCATCTATTAATCGACCTATTATTATTTGATTGTAGGTGAACTGTAAAAGAAGGTTTTCTCTGACTTTCCAGACACTTTGGCACTTTACCACTTGCTACAATGAGACACCGAAGAAACTCGATAGAGACAGAAACTTGTCACTGATTGGATGAATAGTATTATTAATAAAAGATAACTAGGTGCGTTCCGGTTGGCTCAATTACAATTGTTCGCTGAGTAAATTTTGCCACACTGAACTCTTCAGTTTCACGAAAATCGGTCAAGAAAAAAAAAAGTAAATATTCCAAATTCCACATCAATATTTCGCTTTTTCGTCGTATGTGCAGCTTTTTTCGATTGTATTTTGAAGCTTATTGACGATCACCTGTAGTTCAAATGTGTATTTCATTAAAGGTTAGCACCCACCTAAAAGAGTGTCTTACTATGACTCAGAATCTCGACTGCTTATAAGTTATACTTATTTATAGCTGTGATTTATATATTCAACTCTGATTCAACAACATCTCACTCATTCTGACAGTAGATAATTCAGCGGCAACCCAGTTGAAGCTTCTTTCCATTAGAATGTTAACAGAATTATTGATCATTGGTCTATGAATTGAAATATTACAATTAGCTCCAATATTTGTCAAATTTCTTCTGATGATGATATTGATAGTCTTGTATTAGAACTTACTTTAACAGACAGATTCACCATTTTTGGTAGTAAATTGTACTCAAAACGGGCATTTGTCCCACTAAACTATTCAGTAATTAAAGTTTTCACAGTCTACCTTTCGAATTATACTAGCATTCCTATCCACGTGTATATGATACATGTTTGAAAGTTATTTTAACAAGTCTCTATTTTAAAGTGCACCAACATCATTGGTATTTTTTCTCTTACAGACCTTATCAACAAGATGTACAACTTAGGATATCACAATTCTCAGCATAAGGATAAGCTTGCGAATGATTTATATAAAAAGTGAAATTTTGAAGGGATTATTCGTGTGTTATGTTGTGTGAGTTCTAGTAATTGTGAAAACATTTTACTTGTAAGAAACTTCCTGTTGTCATTGCAATACAAAATTTTTGTATTTTCATTATATAAGTTAATGTTTTCATTTCAGAATGAATTCTAAGTTCAAATGATCAATTGATAAAATGACTGAATGACCAACTTCAAGATGAGCCGTTTTGAGACAAACATGGAACATCCACCTTCTACCGCTAGACTGGCTTATACATCTGATAAACACCCACGACAAACGTTCGAGTCAATTAATTTACTGCGTAAAAACCGAGAATTATGTGATGTTGTGTTAATAGTTGGTGTCAAGAAAATTTTTGCACACCGTGTTATTCTCTCAGCATGTAGTCCCTATTTTCATGCCATGTTTACATGTGAATTGGCAGAAAGTCGTCAAACAGAAGTGCCAATTCGTGATATTGATGAAAATGCTATGGAATTATTAATTGACTTCTGTTACACATCAAATATAACTGTGGAGGAGAGTAATGTACAGACTTTATTACCGGCTGCATGTTTATTACAACTTGTGGAAATACAGGATGTTTGTTGTGAATTTTTACGTCGCCAACTTGATCCTTCAAATTGTTTAGGAATTCGTGCATTTGCTGATACTCATGCTTGCAGAGATTTATTGAGAATTGCTGACAAATTTACGCAAAATAACTTCCAAGATGTAAGTATCTTTCTTCTAAACCTTAAAGAGGCTACTCAACAGGTTGGATGCTCTAATATAATACGGAGAATGGGATCTTTTTTTTGCTCTCCAGATATAAACACACGTTATATCTTGTATTATAGACCGGTCAGTTGATAACAATTATAACAAATATAAGACATGAAATATTTCACAATCAAATATTTAAATATTTAGGTCATGGAATCAGAAGAGTTTTTACTACTTCCTGTCAATCAGTTGGTAGAAATTATATCCAGTGATGAATTAAATGTACGATCAGAAGAACAGGTTTACCAGGCAGTTATGGGATGGGTAAAATATAGTATACAAGAAAGACGACAACATCTTCCAACAGTAAGTTATGCTCTGTCATTTACCGGAGGGGGGGGGCCAGGGGGGGGGCCTTTTGTGCTACAGACTGTGACATTGAAGACCCCTAAAAGTCAAATAACAAAAAAAAGTGTAGACTAGTGCCAGTGATTGCACACTGCAGAAAAATAGGAAGTATAAAACTATTTCATTTCATATACCCATCTATCTAAGTATTGTTTAGATAACTCATCTAATGGAGACTTCACTGACTTCTGTCCATAGCCATTCACTTTAAGTTCAACAGACAGTTACCAATTATCATTTAATTTTAAAAAGAAATTGGGTGTGTGTTGGAGAGAATAGGAATTATTACTACTGTTAGGAATAAAGTGAAGATCTATGCTTTGAATTAAATTTTGCTGCATTGCAGTGGTACCGTACAAATCTTATTTTGATTTTAATTCACATATATTTATAATATTCCATTTTAGGTTTTACAGCATGTTAGACTTCCAAGAATGAGTGCCAAATTTTTAGTAGGAACGGTTGGTTCTGATTTATTAATACGCAGTGATGAAGCTTGTCGAGACCTAGTTGACGAAGCTAAAAACTACCTTTTATTACCACAAGAAAGACCATTAATGCAAGGGCCAAGAACGCGACCAAGAAAACCAATCAAATGTGGAGAAGTACTGTTTGCAGGTTTGTATTTGGGTTGCTTTTCAATTGATTTCTTCAATCGAGGATATATTTGACCTTTATACTCTTAAAGGTATACTACCTCTTAGTATGACCAAAAAATGTATTATTGAAAGATAAGATTTGAAGTACATTTAGAAGTGGATAGTAGATAGAACAAAAAACAGAAGGGGTATATTATGGTATAACTCACTTCTTTAATATTAACGTTATGTGCTTTGTTATTAAAGAAGTGAGTTATACCATGATATACTGTTTTTTGTTATATTATTGAAAGAGTTTGAATTATGAGCAAAAGTTTTATTTGTATCTTCAGATGTCAAGTTTTCCATGTAACCTAGCAAACAAATGTAATATTACATGAGCTCTTTGATCAATGAGTAGTATTGTTTACAATTCATTTTAGTTGGTGGTTGGTGTAGTGGAGATGCTATATCTAGTGTAGAGAAATATGATCCACAAGCTAATGAATGGAGATTAGTAGCACCAATGAGTAAAAGAAGATGTGGTGTTGGTGTGGCTGTATTAAATGATTTATTGTATGCTGTTGGTGGTCATGATGGACAATCTTATTTAAACAGTATTGAAAGGTAACCAATTCATCTTAACATCAATCATTTCAAGAACATCGTTAAGGTCTTATTAATCATGCATTGTTTTTTTATATTATTTGACTTTTCTGGGCCATATTTTCGAAAGTCTGGTGTTGATATTATGAACCAAGTTAATCTGTGGGAGCGTGAGTATATATAAACTTGAAATGACCTTCCAGGTGTCCATTGACAATGTAGCGTGTAGACAGAACATGTTTTCCTTGTTAAAGTATGATTTTTTTTACTTTACAATTAATTTGTCATGTAATATTTTCCCAATAGATATGATCCTCATACTAATCAATGGAGTAGTGATGTAGCCCCCACTAGTTCGTGTCGTACTAGTGTTGGTGTAGCTGTTCTGGGTGATTATTTATATGCTGTAGGTGGACAAGATGGTGTCTCCTGTTTAAATTATGTTGAAAGGTAGTTTTATTAATTTCTTGATAATTTTTTCAACACATCAATCTAAGCAAATTTTCATATTTACCTTGTAGAGTTACTTTTGTAAGAAAAAAATAGTAAATTGTTTGCAGACTGATGATCTGGATGTTTCGCATTTTTCTGAAGTTTACTTCTCCTGCCATCCATGATCTGATCTGTGTTCTGTGAAATTTTGACACCATAGCATAACTTATACTAACCAATCAAAACCAGTTAATATCCAAGAAACTTTTTATTGAACAGAGCATTTGATTGATGGAATGTTAAATGCCCCAGAACAGGAGATACATAGCAAGTATGTAAGATCATGGAATGCAAGTTGAGTCATGTGCAGAAAAAAACAAGATAGGAAACATCCAGATTTGCATTTAAATCAGATTGTTTGTGTTATATTTTTGCATAATAATGGTTCATACAGATAGTACTAAGAACTTATGGAACTTTTACTTAAATAGCTGCAATGAAAATCATTGATCTAAGAAAGTACTGTATTTTTATATGCTGTGGGTTGTAGGTATGATCCACAGACTAATAAATGGAATAAAGTAACTTCAATGAGTACAAGAAGGTTAGGTGTGGGTGTAGCTGTATTAGGAGGATCTCTGTATGCTGTAGGAGGCAGTGATGGTACATGCCCTCTCAATACAGGTTTGTTTTTCATATCTTGAAACTCGCAAGCTGCTTTTGTGGTATCTATTTATTTTATGATGTAATCATTACCAATACCATTCAGTACAAACTTATTGGGTCATGCTTTTCTTTGTAATACATGCACCACAAGAGGTAGAAATAGTGTAGAAAATATAGTATAAATGTCCCTGATATACATACCGTATCCAAGCAACAAAATCACATTTGAATTCCTTCCTCAAGAGGAATCAAATAAACTTCCGACTTTTATAGGCTATGTCTTACTAATATTAGATAAAGTTTTTCAAATTTGCACATTTCTTACCCATAGTACCCAATAGTTTCCAATAAATTGATACATTTGTCTCATAAATAAAGGGTTGAGGATTAAATGGACACAAATTAGAAAGATAGCTGTGTTCAAGAAGGGTGTTGATTCAATGTTAGTCTAGAATATGTTTTAAATTAATATTAAATAAAAGACAGCTGAAACATTCTAGCAATTGATTAATTCTGTACTTTTTTTTGTCCAAAAGTTGAGAGGTATGATCCCAGGAATAATAGATGGAATGCTGTAGCCTCAATGGGTACAAGAAGAAAACATTTAGGGGTAGCAGTATTTAATAATATGATCTATGCTGTTGGAGGTAGAGATGATACAACTGAATTATCCAGTGCTGAGAGATATAATCCTCAAACTAATATGTGGCAACCTGTAGTAGCCATGACTTCTCGTAGAAGTGGGGTAAGATATATATATTAACAGTATCCCAAGGAAAATTTGTGTTGCAGCCTCTATTTGCTTGATTCTAATTGATACAATTCAAAATAATGGCAACTTTAAATATGGCATAGGTACTATGATGTTTTATAGAAGCTTGATAAATCAGAAGCTTATACCCATTTTACACCTATAACATTGTGAGCGTCTGGATCATGATATGGTATTTATAAATGTAATAGGTACAAGCGTGTCTGGCTTAGCAGACAAGGTTGGCATTTTCTGGACCAAGTTTAAAGGGATATTAGTTGAAAATAATTAGTTTTAAGCAAAACTACATATGAAACTGTGTATGGTTCTTACATGGATATAACACACACAAGATCAAAAATAGTTGTGAACTACGTTTGTGTGTGTTATTTGCATGTAAGAACCATATGTAGTTTCGTACGAGCTCCATTCCACTTTTAATACCTTCACTACCCTACCTATCTTTGATTGATCAATGTAAAAATATACCCTGATTTTAATTTATATTAATAGGTTGGCTTAGCTGTAGTCAACGGTCAGTTAATGGCTATAGGTGGCTTTGATGGTACTACATATCTAAAAACAGTGGAGGTTTATGATCCTGAAACTAATTGCTGGAGGATTGTAGGAGGAATGAACTATAGACGCTTAGGAGGTGGTGTTGGTGTGGTTAAAATGCCGTCAAACGATTCTCATATTTGGTGAAAAAGATCTGATTTTAACTGTGGTGTAAATTATTGTCTAATACATTCTATCACATAATGTTACATTTATAACATAAAGACATTTCCTATAGATCTAAGATGTTTATTGGTTCATATAAAATATACTAGATGAGAATTTCAAACAATTATTGTGTATATGAGATTGAAAGACAGATTGAAAATGATCCTATTTTTATATTTTTTCTAATTATAATCTATAGCTGAAGGGATGTTTTACTAAGATAATTATACATCTAAATCATTGATTATTAGCCTACCCATTATGTAAGGGCAAGAGT